TAGTGACCTTGTCTTGCCCCGATTACCTTGAAATTGTCCAAGATATTTAAATTCTTTACAATAATGTGAAGTTTGATTAAAAACTAGGAAAGAATGAAGGCGCAAGAGTGCTGACAAACTTCTTCGGACAGACAGCGAGGAAAACTTTAGGTATTCTTGTTTTCTTCTCCCTCCCTGCCACCCCCACCCAGTTTCACCGGTAAGGGAATAAAAATACTAAGAAATCTTATTTGTTGATTGTAAAGGTATCTTTACAAGTGTGTGAAGTTTGATAAACAGGCAAGGAAGAATGTTAAATAAAATTTTCTATTTATAGTAACTGTGACCTTGACCATTTGACCTTAAAACTCGAACCTGTCCAACTCAAACTTGTCGAAGATATTTTAATTCTTTATGACTGTGTGAAGTTTGATTAAAAACCAAGAAAGAATGAAGACGCTAGAGTGCTGACAAAGTTTTTCTATTTATAGTAATAATGACCTTGACCTTGATCCGATGACCTTGAAACTCGAACTTGTTGAAGATATTTTAATTCTTTACATGTGTGTAAAGTTTGATTAAAATCCATGAAAGAATGAAGGCTCTAGAGTGCTGACAAACCTCTTCAGACAGACGGACAGACGGACAGACGGACAGACAGACAGACAGACGGACGGACGGACGGACGGACGGACGGACGGACGGACAGACGGAGGGGAAAACTATAGTCCCCCCGGTTTCCCGGTAGGGGACTAATAACAACACTTTTTCAGGACCATGAGTCGATCATTCCTACCAATTCAATTTACCGTTAAATCGGCCCAGTTGAACTTGACTTTTAAGTTTGATATAGTTTTCAAAATGGCGGCCGTGGCGGCCATATTGGATTTCTGATTAACCCAAAAAATAATAACACTTTGTCAGGAACATAAGTTAATCATTCCTAACAAGTTTCAGTTAAATTGGCCCAGTAGAACTTTACTTCAAGTTTGAAATAGTTTTTTAAAATGGCGGCCGTGGCAGCCATATTTGATTTTTGATCGACCCGAAAAATAACAACACTTTGTCGGGAACATAGTTTATCATTCCTACTAAGTTTCAGTTAAATCACCCCTGTTAAACTTGACTTTAATTTTGAAATAGTTTTTCAAAATGGATGCCGTGGTGGCCATATTGGATTTCTTATTGACCCGAAAAATAACAATACTTTATCAGGACCACGAGTTGATCATTCCTACCTAGTTTCAGTTAAATCAGCCCAATAGAACTTGACTTTAAGTTTGAAAGCTCAGGTGACCTAAAAAGTAGTCTGCATGTTTTCTTATTACTGTAAAATAATCTTTCACGTGCATTGTTATAGTTATCAAATACAAACATTACCCAAACCTAAAACAATATGAGCAACAAGAATAATTATATAGAAACTTTAAATAAACTGATTATTACAGTGAAAGAAGCTTTCAAATTGACTAAAGAATCTGAAAAATTAAAACATGAATTTAATGAAGTGCTAAAAGTAATAGTAACTGAAATAAATGAATATTGTTGAAAAATAAAAATGTAATTTTATCAACATAAGTGAAGGAAAGACATCTCTTTATGTTTAAGTCAATCAATCTATAATATCGATCTGATTGTCAGTATCACAGGTGAGAGGAGTAAGTTTATCCATTAGGTCGTAAATGTATTAAAACATCAAACAAACGTAAAACAGCTACTGTTATTCTGAACTACTCTTAGACGTTAAGAAAGACAAATATATAAATAAGCCATATCATCACTGCAAAATAAAATGAGGAACGGTAAATCAACGAGTAAGTGTGCATGTCATTATACATATACATATAAATACATATATATAACTTTTCATATTTCTGTTGAGTATTAAACTGCCGATATCATAATAACAGTAAAATACCCTTATGATGTGTTCCTCTGTAACTGCCGTTCTACCAACAAACTAAGCGAGGACATATCTTTGAAAAAGTGAAACTTGGTATTTGTCCTTTACTCTGATAATATTACTGTACATGCTTGGCTTAAAGCATATAACATGAAAAAAGAGAAAGAAGAAAAATCTCTCTTGGCCTTTACTGGTCACGTGACACGTACTGAAGTGGAAATTGAAAATGTCAATTCGTAATAAATCCACCATCGCTCGTATTTGATCTACAAGTCTACCGAACGATACTCTGTGACAAATCAAAACATACATAACATTTTCGTAATTGTGACTTGTAATTTAATTTCTTAATGGATTTCGGCTCAGTTAAATGGCAAAGTTATATTTAAGTTGAAATTAAAATATGTTAACTCCATTGTTCGGAAAACAATAGCTGCTTTCACGAACAGTTTGAGGGCAAAATGGTAGTTGATGTTTTAAACATCACCAATATGGATTTACCACATTTGAAGTACATAACCTTTCTGAAAATGGTTATTAAAAAATTTGAGCAAATAAGGCAAAATACAAAAATACCAACACAAACAAATCGAGATACAAAATCGTTACGAAAGATGGGCCTAAGTAACACTATACCAAACAGGAAAAAAACATCATGAGCCCAATAAAACCTAGAACGTAAACCTACACTCCCGTGCTCATTTAAGGGTCACAACGTTCCCCTCTCTATTTCTACTCTTAATGCATTTTGACATTTTTGTAAGGAATTTTAACAAAGACAATAGTAAACAAAAATACCATCAATGTTATGGTTAACAAAAATACCATCAATGTTTTCTCTATATATTTCCAAATTCCGCGACAACGAACTTGAACCTTCAAATCCAAGATAACTGATACGCGTGGTTTTTTTTTCTTGATCAGTCTCAAAATGCACACGTATAGACCTAAGTTACCTTCCATATGAAATTGGAGAAAGATCCATTAGTCCGTTTTGAGAACTAGCGATGACTAGAGTTATAGAAGGACGGACGGATGGATGCACCACGAACGAAAGATGATATTTTAAGAGACAAATGAGCTATGTTTTTCTTACATGATTCAAATATTCGTTTGAAAAGCATCACTGAAAACACGCTCCCAACTTTTTAATTATTCACAGGAAAGTAGGTTCTCGTCTCAGATTCAAGCTCATAGAAGTGAGGTGAAATATCATTTCCTAATTTACTACCACAAACAACAATAGGTTTTGACATCATTAGAATATTTATGTAAATATTGTATAAAAATATATATCTCTGTATCACAATCAATGACTGTTGGTGACACTTCTGGTGGAAGATATCATGTGAAATCACAGGGAATGTAAACATGTAACGTACATAGAATGGCGGTATTCTAATGTTAGGTCTTTTCGCGCTATGAATACTGTGCTAAATTGTAATTACGCCAATTGAAGTTGCTGTATCAGTTTTCTATTGCGAATATTGGGAGTGACCCAATATATCAATTCGCTAATCTGTTAAATAAGCTTCAATAATATGCTAAATTTGATCCCACTAAAACTGAGTACTGTTACAGTATTGAAATCAACTTATGATTTCGACAGCACTTATTTGCTTCATATTAGGCTTTTACAAGTAATCGTTTTCGTAACAACACTCCATATTGTGAAGCCATAATTGAATCTTTTCCCCCCGAGGTCTTTTTTTTAAATCCTAAAGAAACTCAAGTTTGATTTTGATAAACCCCGTAAATAAAAAATATATAAATTCACTTTCTAATAAAGAATACCTGGCAATCATTATGTGAAAAAGATTTCTTAATTAGCATGATGTGAAAATACAATTATACAACTGCATACACGGTATAAACAGAAATTGAAAAGCACTTTCATACAGCATTAATATATTTGAATACTTTTTTCACAGCATAATTTTTATATTTAGATGAGCAATCAACTACATTAATTCATTTGATACATACTAGAATTATATTCAAATATGAACATGTATCTTAAAGAAATTTATACATTTAATATATACATATATATATATACATCTTATGATATACATGTTGGTCTGTTTTACGTCCTATTTACAGCGACAGTTGACATGCGGCTGGTACCTGGTGACTGTCCCAGGTAGGCCTCAAACACGCGACCCAGTGGTGGAAGGCTAGTGATCCAAACAGTCAGAGACCTTTACCACTCGGCCACCGCGCCAATCCCCACCTTATTGACTATATACAAACTGTGTTCTAACGTTTTGTCATCAGCTGGCCTTTTTGACTCTAAAAATATTGAGTAACGTTAAACTTTGCTATTTTTGAAATATACAAGACAAACTTCTTTTTTTTAAAAGTCAACTAAATGATAAAGGAATTTAAAAAAAAACAGCTTCTGTTCATGGAAAAAAACATACATCTTACATCCTTGGTAATTTGGTTGGTATTACCGGGTATAAGCCACTATTTCTGATAAACAAACAACAGATTTGAACCTGGTTGAAATGATATGTTCCATTTTTAAAATCAACATTTATACAAACCAAAGCCCTCTTAATTAGTTCGCATTCACTCCGAAAGACATTGTTTTAGATTTTACATACAAAAAAAAACACAAAAAAACAGACAAGCAACAAATAAAAACAAAAGGTACCGTAAAAACCCATGTAATTTGCGCACCTGTGTAATTTGCGCAGGTACTTTTTGAGGCTGAAAATCGGGAAAAAAGCTTCTACTCGAATATTTTGCACACCCAAAAATCTGAACAAAAAACGATGTTCATGCTCCGAAAATCGATCTCTGAATATATTTTTTTTAAATATGTTTCTTTTGAATTTTTTTTCATTGATGAAAAATGATATAAATAACCAAGAAGAAACTACGTAAAATGTGTATTTTGTTGTTCGTTTTCTTTGAATTATCTGTTCACACATGACACACACGTGTGCGCATATCGGCATACATCAATTCATTTTAGCAATATATAAAACATTTACTTGCTTACAAAAACATATCAATTAATAAGTAATTCGATGTTAGTAACCGCTGGTGCATATCTCCGGGTGAAAGACATAATTAGATACCTTTTATTGATCATAATTACGATCAGTGAGAAAGGCTCATCATGGCGGCTTGGGTATCGTCACTTCAAACCAGGTCATGTCACAGTTCAGTTTGGCCACGGAATTCGATTACCTTAGTCCGTGGTTTGGCGATATTTTTTGGCCACACAATTTTTACCTACTGTAAAATTAACACTATATCTGTGATTACCCGTTAACAATAGGTATACTTATTGAAATGATTTTCAGTTGCGATCGACGGACCGTGTTGTTGTATTTTTCACTCACCAACACGTGGCGTGAATTACGAAGCCCTACTGCCTTGTCATAACTACAGACTGATTTGATTACATGGGTTTTTACGGTAACCGTTTATATGTCTTTGCCTCTCATTAATGACATCATTGAATTGTTCCTTGTTGTAATATTTGGTGACAAAACCAATGTTAGGAAATAATCAACATAATATCATTGAAATGATGAAGGGAATGCTAAACCAAGAATTAATATAGAACTACTGGAAATCTGGTTTATTAATTGATTAAAGCTGATGGGTGAAAGATGAGGAGAATGATATTGCTGCTTTTCAATGAAGATATGACACTAACTGGAATTTGAGATCAACACGAAATGCATATTATATACTGCAGAGCTGCCATATCCTTCTTTGTAGTATATAATCTAAATACATTTCTGTTTTTAATCGTTAATGAAGTATATTTGATTTTTAAAAAAAACTCGCCATAGATCTGAATTTAAAAGTATTTAACAGTCTGTATGATAAAATGTATGGACATGTATCATGTTATATATCAAACTTTATCTTAAAACTGTAGAACAACTGGGCAAGGACAGTTCCATCAACCAAATCGTTCAATCGGTTTGAGCAATGGTTCAGCAATCTGAAGTTTAATGTTTGATTTCAGGTTGACAACAAGATTAATAAAACAAAAATATTCTTAAAAAAATTGGGAAAACATCATTGTGTCAAAAGTTTCTTTCTTTAATAAATTGGGACCAGCCTATTTCCCTGCAATACAGACAGACATCAGCACATTTGTCTTATCATATACAAAACTACTGTATGGTCTTTATAATTATAACATGCCTACACAAACAAATGTAAGTCATAATAAACCTTCACAATCATATAAACAATGCTTATACACTTAATACACACCATACAATGTTGTGAAACTGTTATATCGCATAATGTATATACAATGTACTCAAGCATTATTACAATGTAGTATACTGTGCATTGATCATAAGGTAACTCAGGTTATATATATACAATGTGGTAAAATATACATACAATCAATGTACATAACATATCTGCACATCAGATATTCTACATACTTACACAATCACATATACACCATTAAATACTTAATATATGTCATTACGAACATATTGGCAAATATTTAATGTTGGTAAAAATACAGATAACTATGTTAATTTGTAACATATGTAACAGGAGTGGAAAAAGTACGACCCGACCAGGATTGGAACCTGGGACACTCCAAACTCTAGACGAATACTTAACCAATTGAGCTACCTTAGTCACCAGCAATCGACCCAGTCCAATTCAGTTACAATACTCCTTCCTTTAACAAATTCTTCAACCCCGAAGATACAAGAGACACTATACCAACTTCTGCTGGTATGTTGTGTCGGTTGCCATAGGTAACAAGAGTGGGAAAATACATAGACAGACCAGATTAGAACCAGGGACCATCCAAACTCTAGACGGATGCTTTAACCAACTAAACCGTCTGGTCGCTGGCGATCGACCCACTCCAGTCCTGCTATAGATGTATACAAAATCATTTATAACATCTTAATTCATCAAGTACCTGTAGTCATATATACAATTCTGAACATTGTACTAACACAGTATACAAAATTGTATACTATAAACATCATATCTATCCAATCATACATAAAGACAATGACATCACTGTTTATAAATCTATGTGTTGAGTGACTCACCTTATTGTTAATTTATTCACCTTTTGTCAACATAAAATTAAATGGCACTTGGGATTGTGTCCCATAGCTTTGATATATTTCCTCTAACAGAGATATACATCCTTGATCAACATGTGGGTGAGGCAAGCTGCTGACTTGTAGCCCTTATCTGTCTCATTTTCAATGGCAATTTTACCAATAACTTTGGTAAGAACCTGTTGGAAAGTCAGAAAAGTCATATTTGATCTATTTTCATTTTTTCAATATATTTTCCATATTTCTGCTATAAATGCTAACCAGCAAATAGAAATGTGATAACAAACCAAACGAATTGGAAGTGAAAAATATAAACAGATGAATTATGGAAATCAATGCAGCAGTTACGAGTCATAAGAGTGAACTGTTAATGGTAACGCACAACAACAGATGAAGATTGATGGTGAAAAGTCACTGATCTTCACTCAGGTCATTGACAAACAAGGCAAAGTAATAAGTTTACTAATTGATATCAACTATCAACAGCATAAAGACATGCGAACAATCACTAATCCGCACTTGTAGTCATACTTTGCTATAAAAAACAAGGCAATCCATAGGCCCCAACCGATAATGATTTCTATATTTAACAAACAGTACACTTATGTCAGGAACCATAGGTCACAGTGAGGTCATATTGACCTACTTCTTGCACCCATCCCAAGATGTCCTTGTACACCAAAACTGGTTACTCAAGGTGAAATAGTATAGATTTGCCATGGACAAAAAAATCAAAAGTGAAGGTCAAAGGTCAAGTAATCGGTCACAGTGACCTATACTCATTCTTGCGCTTTGCACTCCGTCATCCCAACATGTCCTTGTACACCAAATCTAATAACTCCAGGTGAAATAGTATAACATTTATGCCCGGACAAACATTTTCAAAAGTAAAAGTCAAAGGTCAAATCATAGGTCACAGTGACCTTAATTCTTGCACTCTGCACTCCAATCATTCCAAGTTTTTCTTGTACACTCCCATCATTCCAAGTTTTTCTTGTACACCAAATCTGGTTACTCCAGGTGAAATAGTATAGAAGATATGTCCCAGACAAACTTCTCTGACAGAAGCACGGACGGACAGACACACTGACTGACGCACTGATCGACAGACAGCAAACCCAAAACCCCATCCGGTTGTACTGTAAGTGGTGTAACCCCAAGTGAACAATGTTCACTGGTTAGTGAGGTTAATTTATTTCTTAAGTCTCCTAATTGGTGAAGATAAGACAGCTGAACCTATTCAGGTCGGGAAATAAATATAGCCGAACTATTTTCACATTCTAATTAAATATCGTTTCATGGACTTTTCTAAAATATACATATACCAGAAAATAAAACTAAATCCAGGTCAACCTGTGGATATTTATGGATGCTGGTGATTTCTACTTTATATTTTAGATGAATCGGTGGTTTCCTACCAGTAATACTTTAGATGGATCGGTCGTTTCCTACCGGTAATACTTTAGATGGATCGGTCGTTTCCTACCAGTAATACTTTAGATGGATCGGTGGTTTCCTACCGGTAATACTTTAGATGGATCGGTGGTTTCCTACCAGTAATAGTTTTGATGGATCGGTGGTTTCCTACCAGTAATAGTTTAGATGGATCGGTGGTTTCCTATCAGTAATAGTTTAGATGGATCGGTGGTTTCCTATCAGTAATAGTTTAGATGGATCGGTGGTTTCCTACCAGTAATACTATAGATGGATCGGTGGTTTCCTACCAGTATTAGTTTTAGATGGATCGGTGGTTTCCTACCAGTAATAGTTTAGATGGATGGGTGGTTTCCTGCCAGTAATACTTTAGATGGATCGGTGGTTTTCTACCAGTAATAGTTTAGATGGTAACTGTAGTACAGTTCCTTCATCACATCAAATCAAGGTGAACAGTGAAAAAAATGTACGAACACAATTACCATTGTTGGAATCTAAATGGTTTAGTGTATTTTACAGTTTCGTGAATACATGGCCTGGTCTAGATAAAGCTTGATTGCTGTGTAATAGTTACCTGTAACAAGTCTTGGTCTAGATAAAGTTTGATTGTGGTGTATTAGTTACCTGTAACAAGTCCTGGTCTAGATAAAGCTTGATTGTGGTGTATTAGTTACCTGTAACAAGTCCTGGTCTAGATAAAGCTTGATTGTGGTGTATTAGTTACCTGTAACAAGTCCTGGTCTAGATAAAGCTTGATTGTGGTGTATTAGTTACCTGTAACAAGTCCTGGTCTAGATAAAGCTTGATTGTGGTGTATTAGTTACCTGTAACAAGTCCTGGTCTAGATAAAGCTTGATTGTGGTGTATTAGTTACCTGTAACAAGTCCTGGTCTAGATAAAGCTTGATTGTGGTGTATTAGTTACCTGTAACAAGTCCTGGTCTAGATAAAGCTTGATTGTGGTGTATTAGTTACCTGTAACAAGTCCTGGTCTAGATAAAGCTTGATTGTGGTGTATTAGTTACCTGTAACAAGTCCTGGTCTAGATAAAGCTTGATTGTGGTGTATTAGTTACCTGTAACAAGTCCTGGTCTAGATAAAGCTTGATTGTGGTGTATTAGTTACCTGTAACAAGTCCTGGTCTAGATAAAGCTTGATTGTGGTGTATTAGTTACCTGTAACAAGTCCTGGTCTAGATAAAGCTTGATTGTGGTGTATTAGTTACCTGTAACAAGTCCTGGTCTAGATAAAGCTTGATTGTGGTGTATTAGTTACCTGTAACAAGTCCTGGTCTAGATAAAGCTTGATTGTGGTGTATTAGTTACCTGTAACAAGTCCTGGTCTAGATAAAGCTTGATTGTGGTGTATTATAGTTACCTGTAACAAGTCCTGGTCTGGATGTGATGGCCAGCTTTCCAGTTCCTTAATAACTGATTGCATCATCCATCCACCTTCTTTTAATCGCCTGTATGCCTCTTTTCCTGGAAATGAGAACATTATAAAATTTTATCATTAGATATTGGATTCCAAAATTTAATCAATAGCCTTTTTTTATGAACACATTTCTTCCCAATTTGTTTCCTATGAATTTTACAACACAAGTTTATAGTTCAAATTTTCTAAATCCATTAAAGTGCTCTACCTACTTCTAACCAAATGATTAACATTAACAATTCTTTTAGGTAAAACATAAAAATCTGAGTTCAATTTTATCATTTTAGCTTGATAATGACAATATCATACATGTTTTTTATTTAAACTTTTATAATGGATATAATTTTTAAAAAAATGTGTTGTTATATCAAGTCATCTGTGGTTTAGGACAAATACTGTTTGAATGTTATTATCAGAGTAAACAGGGAATTACGTCACATACTGTATATATGTATCCATACGGCCAGGGACAATATTTCCTACTGTATCAATACAGCCGGGGGCAATATTTACTACTGTATCCATACAGCCGTGGGACAATATTTACTACTGTATCCATACAGCCGGGGACAACAGTTACTACTGTATCCATACACCAGGGGACAATATTTACTACGGTATCCATACATCCGGGGACAATATTTACTATTGTATCCATACAGCCGGGGACAACATGTACTACTGTATCCATACAGAAGGGGACAATATTTACTACTATATCCATACAGCCATACAACAATTAACAGGGTATAGAAATTATGACATAAATACATAACACACCTGAATCAATGGATAACAAAAATATAAGTAGTGGCAGGCTAGAAACTACTTACCTGGTGCTGAAGCGAACATCACCAAACCGTCTTCGATACACGTTAAGGACGGGATATCCTGCTGGGGAAGAACCTGAGGCGTCGTATCAACATTAGGAGCCGGGGACATCATTTACTACTGTATCCATAGAGCAGGGGACAATATTTACAACTGTATCCATACAGCCGGAGACAATATTTACTACTGTATTCATACAGCCGGGGAAAATATTTCCTACTGTATCCATCCAGCCGGGGACAATATTTACTATTGTATCCATACAGCCGGGGAAAATATTTACTACTGTATCCTATTTACTACTATATCCATACAGCCATACAACAATTAACAGGGTATAGAAATTATGACATAAATACATAACACACCTGAATCAATGGATAACAAAAATATAAGTAGTGGTAGGCTAGAAACTACTGACCTGGTGCTGAAACGAACATAACCAAACTGTCTTCGATACACGTTATGGACGGGGTATCCTGCTGGGGAAGAACCTGAGGCGTCGTATCAACATTAGGAGCCGGGGACATCATTTACTACTGTATCCATAGAGCAGGGGACAATATTTACAACTGTATCCATACAGCCGGAGACAATATTTACTACTGTATTCATACAGCCGGGGAAAATATTTACTACTGTATCCTATGGGAATTACGTCACATACTGTATATATGTATCCATACGGCCAGGGTCAATATTTCCTACTGTATCCATACAGCCGTGGGGCAATATTTACTACTGTAGCAATACAGCCGTGGGACAATATTTACCACTATATCCATACAGCCGGGAACAATATTTACTACTGTATTCATACAGCCGGGCACAATATTTACTACTGTATTCATACAGCCGCGGACAATATTTACTACTGTCAGGGAATTACGTCACATACTGTATATATGTATCCCTACGGGCCAGGGCAATATTTTCTACTGTATCCATACAGCAGGGGACAATATTTGCTACTGTATCCTATTTACTACTATATTCATACAGACCGGGACAATATTTACTACTGGATCCATACAGCAGGGGACAATATTTACAACTGTATCCATACAGCCGGGAACAATATTTACTACTGTATTCATACAGCCGCGGACAATATTTACTACTGTATCCTATTTACTACTATATTCATACAGACCGGGACAATATTTACTACTGCATCCATACAGCAGGGGACAATATTTACTACGGTATCCATACATCCGGGGACAATATTTACTATTGTATCCATACAGCCGGGGCCAATATTTCCTACTGTATCCATCCAGCCGGGGACATTATTTATATCTGTATCCATACAGCCGGGGAAAATATTTACTACTGTATCCACACAGCCGGGGACAATATTTACTATTGTATCCATACAGCCGGGGAAAATATTTACTACTGTATCCTATTTACTACTATATCCATACAGCCATACAACAATTAACAGGGTATAGAAATTATGACATAAATACATAACACACCTGAATCAATGGATAACGAAAATATAAGTAGTGGCAGGGTAGAAACTACTGACCTGGTGCTGCAGCGAACATAACCAAACCGTCTTCGATCCACGTTATGGACGGGATATCCTGCTGGGGAAGAACCTGAGGCGTCGTATCAACATTAGGAGCCGGGGACATCATTTACTACTGTATCCATACAGCCCGGGACAATATTTACTACTGCATCCATACAGCAGGGGACAATGTTTACTACTGTATCCATACAGCAGGGGACAATATTTACTACGGTATCCATACATCCGGGGACAATATTTACTATTGTATCCATACAGCCGGGGACATTATTTACTACTGTATCCATACAGACGGGAACAATATTTACTACTGTATTCATACAGCCGCGGACAATATTTACTACTGTATTCATACAGCCGGGGAAAATATTTACTACTGTATCCTATTTACTACTATATTCATACAGCCTGGGACAATATTTACTACTGTGTCCTATTTACTACTATATCCATACAGCCAGGGACAATATTTCCTGCTGTATCAATACAGCCGGGGGCAATATTTACTACTGCATCCATACAGCAGGGGACAATATTTACTACGGTATCCATACATCCGGGGACAATATTTACTATTGTATCCATACAGCCGGGGCCAATATTTCCTACTGTATCCATACGGCCAGGGACAATATTTCCTGCTGTATCAATACAGCCGGGGGCACTATTTACTACTGTATCCATCCAGCCGGGGACATTATTTATATCTGTATCCATACAGCCGGGCACAATATTTACTACTGTATCCACACAGCCGGGGACAATATTTGCTACTGTATCCTATTTACTACTATATTCATACAGCCTGGGACAATATTTACTACTATATCCATACAGCCGGGGACATTATTTTCTACTGTATCCATACAGCAGGGGACAATATTTACTCCTGTATCCATCCATCCGGGAACAATATTTCCTACTGTATCAATACAGACGGGGGCAATATTTACTACTGTAGCAATACAGCCGTGGGACAATATTTACCACTATATCCATACAGCCGGGGACAACATGTACTACTGTATCCATACAGACGGGGACAAAGTCATCTGTGGTTTAGGACAACTACTGTTTGAATGTTATTATCAGAGTAAACAGGGAATTACGTCACATACTGTATATATGTATCCATACGGCCAGGGACAATATTTCCAACTGGATCCATACGGCCAGGGACAACATTTCCTACTGTATGCATACAGCCAGGGACAATATTTCCTGCTGTATCAATACAGCCGGGGGCAATAATTACTACTGTATCCATACAGAAGGGGACAATATTTACTACTATATCCATACAGCCATACAACAATTAACAGGGTATAGAAATTATGACATAAATACATAACACACCTGAATCAATGGATAACAAAAATATAAGTTGTGGCAGGCTAGAAACTACTGACCTGGTGCTGAAGCGAACATAACCAAACCGTCTTCGATACACGTTATGGACGGGATATCCTGCTGGGGAAGAACCTGAGGCGTCGTATCAACATTAGGTTTTGGTTGTCTGACATCAGCTAAATCTGATGTCTTTTTGGCAACTGAGTTGTCTTTTACTTCAGGGGTATCCATGGATTGTTTTTCCTCAGATTCTGTAGCGATGTCTATAAGCGGTTTAGCCCCTCCTGCATTTTGTATGGGTTCCAGTGTAGATGATTGTGGATTGGTCAAACCTGATGTTTGCTGTGATTAAAATAGGTAGCATGGTTAAAATGGTAAGGACATACAGAACTCTTAGTTTCAATTAACAATTGAGTATCAAATTGTGGCAGTGACCATAATGAATGTTGTAAAGGTCATATTATCTGGGAATAATAACATTGATATGTGTTTGTTTGTCCTTTTTGGATTACTGAAAAACATTTCATCACTTTTTATGAGATAACGTAACACACACACGTGATTGTGTTCTTTAACAAGCCATTGGGATTGATATGTCTCGCCTATGCCCGGCTTTGACCATCAATGCACATATCAGAGAAACTAAGTTAAACGCAAAAACTTAATGTTGATGGAAATGCTGACAAAGTCAATGGACCATTAAAGGTACGCTGCATCTTCTATATTAACTTACATAACTGAAAAATGAATTGATGAGAAATAGTTATGTTGGTCTTTAAAATCAGTTGTTGTTGAACAAAATGGTGCATATTGTTGAACAAAATGGTGCATATTGTTTTGAAAGTGTCATAATTCATCCATTGCTAGAAGTTGTTATTATTCAACAATCATGAATTTATCTTTTTATCTCAAATTATCAAAGAGAATTATATATAAAACTGAGTTAATTTTCCTGTGTTGGAAATTTCATTGGTTGAGAATTAATATAACGTTGCTGTTCAATGATTTTAAACATATCTAAATTTGACGGGGAACACTATTTTGCACACTATTGCAGTTGAAAGCATAACCTAGGTAGATATAATTTACTTTTGTTATTCCAAAGTTTCAAACTCACAATTTTTAATTCAAATATTGATCGCTGAGGATGTCATAAGCTTACAGAAAATTATTCTTCCAATTCCCTGAGGCAAGGGGGTTAGGGACAGATTAAGGTCTAAACCGTCTCAACTGCTACTGATTAATTACTGTTATAAAAATTGTCATCGATATATATATATCTTGATAATCATAATTACATACTGGTCCAAAATACTGTTAGTTAAAGCATCCAAGGTCTTGAAACAAGAGTTTCAACGAGAAAACAGATGTAGCTTGATATGGACTCCAAATGAAGCTGGACGCTGTACAAAAATATACTTACATTCCTTGGTCTGGCATCTGATACCTCATTATGGCTTTTAACATTATCACGGCTGTTAACTGTCTTGTCTCCTTCTGGTTTTAACATAATAGATATTGTGGTTATTATGTTAGTTGCCATTTTCTTTTTTGCAACTCTCGGGACATTAGATAATTTGCTACATTTATATCTGGTATACACTTGCCATGTTTATCACTGTCTTCTTGTAGCAGGAATGGCTACATGTGTCATGCATCATAAGCGACATTTAACAACCTTACATGTACTTGTCTGTGTATTTTTTAGGGGGATTCCCTTTTAACGAGTGTATTATGTCATCATATCTGGGCCTTTTCCAGATTTACACATAGTTTGGAACTTTTAGATAGTGACCTATACATAAGTACTATTGTGTGAAATATTGTATTTAATTTTTAATTTCTATGAGTAAAACAACTATTGATATGAAACATAAGGATGGTGAGCCTCCCTCAAAACTACAAATGGGCCACCTTCGAACCACATTCTTGGGCAAAATTTGCATTTGAAATAAGGCGCAACATGCACACATGTGAACGATAATTCATATTTCATGAAATTTTGTTGTAGGCATATGTTTATGTGTAGTGTACCCGTACCTGTAGCGTTGCTATTATCATGGTTCTATCTTATACCAAGGACATTAGACACACTTGCTATGTTATCATTCTACCCTCATGGACATTTATGTTTACTTCTGTCTCTTTTTATATCAGAGATTGCAAATACACCTCGCTGTGATTATCATTGCATCATCTTGCATCCCGGGATCTTTCGATACATAAAATCAACATTTCATACTATAGAACATAAGTACAATTGTGGTTCCATTTTAAATTATATGTGAAAAACAGCTTTCACCCAGTAAAATAGAAACCAAAACACTGACAGGCCCAAGGGCTCCATCAAGTGTCTGATCATTTTATACCCCCAAAACTGTCAAGTAGAAAACAAGATAACGGTCGTGCACATTTATGTTTGTCTATTGGTTGTGAGGTAACCTTTAGTCCTACTGCATGTAGGTAGGTATGTCAGTATATAAAACTATATCTTATTTTCAATTCAAGGTGTGAAATGTCAGTAATTTTCAAACTCTTCAAATTAAGGACAAAACATCAATATCATTCTGAATTTGAAATTGAGTGGTAGTCTTACGAGAGATTGATTTGTTTGTGAAACATTTACGTGCAACTAGATGGAAGGCTATATTTACAAATATCAGTGACAAAATCATTGCATCCTGATTGCTAGTTCTTTTACATGTAACTGCTTCTCTATTGATACTGTAGGAAACAACGTTTACTACTAAAGTCATAGTGTTCACAGCGCAACTATTGTAGACATGTATACTCTCAGTGCTATTGACAAGGTATGAGTACAATTACATCACCATGCGATATGCCTGATTCATGGACAACGAAACCATAGGCAAGAGAAAGATAGGAAATGCTGACCTGGTGGTGTATCCACGGGTGGCTTCACATGAGGGACGTTTGCTCGTGTATTGGCCTCTTTTGTGTCGTCTGCCACTTCTGTGCCTGGTTGGGGTGGTGTTGTAACTTTTGGTTTTAGCTGTTATTAAGAACAAGTCGGACAGTTAAAATCGTTAAGTAGAGAAGTTAAAATTCCAAGGTACTAAAACCACAATTACAATATGAAAACAAATGCTTCAATGCTGCAACAAAGCTTGACTCTGTAAAGAAATACTCACGTTCCTTGGTCTGGCATCAGATATGTCCCTATGTCCATTACTTCGGCTGGCCGCCAAGTCTTTTTCTAATTCAGAATTCCCTTGAACTTTAAGATAAGAGGCCATGATAATAAGAGTACATGTATATATCATGAACATTTGAAATGAATATATTGTTCCAGGCTGTGATAATGCTTATAGGTCTTCATTCCTACCCAGGAACTTTAAATAACTCGCTGAATTAGTATCTGGAATACACTGCAAGATTTTAACCGTCACTCTTCTACCGCAGAACTTAAATACAGAAGCTACATATTATGTATGTTATATGCTATATTACCATCACATAATATTACATGTGGATCACCAACACTGATACCATATCAACAGCAAAGGCAATGTCTGTTGTGGTTTCAATTGATTTCACATGGTTAAAGAAAAGCATAAAACGCATTCCAATTAGATCCTATTAACTTGCTGAAGCTTAATTCATGACAAGAGGCCTATCGGACATGTATCGTTCACATGTTTATTTTGATATATGAACAAGACAATATTTTCAAATGTTTACGTTATCCGAGTCAATTGTGACCATTTAAGATTTCATATTAACTCGGACAATGACAGTAACAGAAGGTTTACCGAGGCTTTATTTCACATTTGTGACCTTTAAAAAGAGTAAAGGTCAAAATTAATTCAAAAAATCTTCTCCGGACGAGCTTAAATTTATTTCATTCAAGTGACTTTCCAAACTGAAAATTGATCTCGGTCATTCAGTTTGATCCCACACTTTATAGTCATTCGTGCCAATTAGCTACAGGCGAAATGTCATTACCCTGGAACTGTTGGTTTTCTACAAGCTGTTTATTTTAGCTTAACACTTTAATAACATTTTACCCCAGTGTTTCACATAAGGATATTATTTTGCTGAAAACATGAAAATACTTGGAATATTTTTATATATTTTTCTTTCTACCATTGTTAGTAGCTCCTAGTCTTAATAAACAATTATAATGTTCTTACCTTCGACAGAAATTCCCACACCTTTATCCACAACATCTTCTTTCTTTGTACCAAATTCTGAGCGACATGCCTTTGAAAAGTAAATAACACAATTTATAATAAGATAACATCAGTTTTCTGCATTGTAAGAAGAATAAAATATCATAGTGCCAACATTTTAGAATTAAATCATAAATCAAATAAAAAATATTTCAGGAATTGAGGTGATATGAAATTAAAAGGGAAGGCACCATGACCGTTCAAAGATTACCAAGATGAGAGAGCATGGCATTGTGTTTTAATGAGTTTGCGCTTCATGCATATCATTTGGCACTGATAAAAAGGGTTTCTTTCCAAGATTTAAAAAAATGCAATGATAATCCTTTCCCCTGAATACCCACTTGTGAAAACACACGACAACTGAAACAGCTTTAAAGCAGTTCAAAATATGCATATAACATAATTGGTACAGGGTCTTTGACAATTGTCTAGTAACTTTCTACAATATTTTATCCACCATAACACATTGCAAAAAAAGGAGAAACATTATTTTGCGGATTTATCTGGTGGTAAGTATGACAAATGAGGAGTATTGGTTTATTCCGACACATTGGTTGACCTATATTAGCTTTAGCCTGTGTGTTGACTCCTGGAGTCCATTCCAAATCCTTTCATAGGACACGCTACATAAAATTATATAATAAATCTGGATTCCATATTTGTGAAGATGAATCAATTCATGTTTAACTTCATAAA